CCCTACAGCTTGTCCTTGTCCTGATCCTTTTGAACCTTTTCATTTCAGCTTTAGCATTATGGCACTCACCATCTTCTCTTCTGGGAAGAAGACTAAACCTTCACTGAAAAAGACAGTTTACTGTATTTTCATTTCCTCCTTTTTGTCATCTCGATATACATATTGAAACCATCCCAGAGTACAGGATAAATGTCAAATATGCTTCTCCACTTGAAGTTCCCTCTGTACCTTCTTACTAAGACATTGCTGATTTTAAAAGAAATTACAACACTTACTGCTAGCTCTTCCTTCCTCTTTTTGTCTCCAACTAACACAAGCACCTGTCTTCTTACTTCCAAGATCTTTCATTTGACCTTAGCATGTCCCAGGGGTTGCTTCCCCTTCTGGTTTCTCATGCATTGCACACTTGCATGCCACAGGAGGGAAGCCCCATGCACTGGAGCCAGTTGCCTTCCCTGCCCCCTACTGTGTAGGTCCTGGGAATCCCCAAGCTCAGGGGGTGTCTAACGTACATGGCTCCTGAGGCCAGATTTGGACCACGGGGCTCCTTGTTGGCTGGATCCAACCTGGAACCTATGTCAGTAGCAACTCTGGGTCTGACCTGGGGCAAGTGATGGCAGTAGCTTCAGCTCTGGCATTGGGCACAAAGCTCAGCTTGATGCAAGTTGCATCCTCTACCGTGACCCCCAACTTCCAGTAGCCTGCGGGGCCAGGTTGGGCAGCTCTGCAGGGCAAATGTTTGACAACCCTGCCCTATCTTGTTGTGGGGTGCTAGACAATAGCAGTTGTAAGTAAGAAGTGAAACACCATTCTCTCTGTCATCTAGTTTTTTTTCTGTGACAGAGTAGAGGTTAATCTTTTTTATTTTTTTCAGCACTTGAAAAAAGACTAATCCTGGATTGGTATCGTGTGGTATTAGACATGTGAATGAGCTAGAAGTGAAGTTAAGTCACCTGCAAATACAACTCACCATTATCTTAGTCATCTCTTCTTCAACAGAAGGAGACTAAGGAACTCCAAAGGATGGAAGCTAGTTGAATGTGTAGTGTACAGGCAAGCAGCAGTTAAGTGTTTATGTTTGCAAAGTAAAGCACGCTGGAAGGAATAGTACAACCTATTCGTACATACTGCTGCATTCTAAAGTAGACTGGAAAGTAGTGTTTCTGTGAACCTGTCAATGACAAATGTTGTGCATCTACCAGAGGCTTAAAAAAACCCCAAAGAGCGCACATAACTAAAGTATGAGAGAATGAAACTGAAAGTACTGTAAAACTGAATCTTGTAGAACTATAGACATTGATGGAACCTTTCACTTGTAATATGATGTTCATTCTGACTGCCTAGAAAAGCAGCGTTAGAAAAAGTCTAGAGACATTAATAAAAGTGTTTTAAGGAAAAAGAGGAACTACTTAGAGGAGTTGAGAGAGGTTCAGGGCAGAAATAATGAATGCCTTAATGCAAATGAGTTGCTTTTCTTTTTTCTTTTCTGTTTTTTTTAAATGCACTTAAAGTGAAATCCAATACACTTGCAATACTTGTTTGCTGTTTATACTGAACCTGTAGAGTCCATGGCTGAAATGCATTGATACCAAGTTCTGGGGGTTTTGGTAGGATTTTTTTTTAATTGACTATTCTGTTTTATAAGGATTACTAGAGCTTCATACAGCAGAGTGAAATTCACCCAGTAATAGATGGAACTGGGAACAAATATCCTGTGCTCCCCCCTGGCAGTTATTTGTAATTTTTCACTATGATTTTTTCGTGTTTTCAGCTGAAGTTCTTGGTGCTATCAGAGACAGAATATTGACCTAGATGAACTATTGTTAGAACAGTGACACTCAGCTGGGGTGCCACACCACCCTAAGGTGCCTTGAGAACCTTTCAGGGGTGTTCTGGGGTGCCACACATTTTTAGCACCGTTAAGAGTGCAAACATAATTTACATGATAAACGCAGAGTTTGGAAACAGGATTGCATAATGTCAAAAAACCATCCTGACACATTGTGGTCTTTGAGTTCTGTACAACCAGTGAAGTGCTCTATTATGTTTCAGTAGTCAGAAAAACAAGTAAAAACTAAGAGCTGGAGTTTCTCAAAGGGTGCCTTGAGTCTAACAAAGTTGAGAACCACTGTGTTGGAAGGACCATGTCTGCTCGCAAAGTGGTGCGCGAGGTATACCACTGCCCTATCTTTAGAAGTAGAATGACTAGCACTGAAGTGATCCCAGTCTTTTGAAATATGAAACTGGCTTAATTTATTTCAAAAGTAGGGGTTGTTGCTTTGCATCTACTGCTCTACAGCCTGGAACAGTAACTTTTCAAGAGTGTTGGTATGGTATAATAATCTAGAAAGTTTTATAATGTGTTTATGTTAAATGATCTATGTTTATAGATTAGTTAAGTTAATGATTTTTTTTTCATATTTATAAGATGGTAGGTATCAGTTAATCTATCAGTTAATACTACCTGAATCTCCTATTTCCTGCCTAGTATGATGAATTGGTTCCTGCATCTCTGACAACCAAATATGGAGGGTTTTACATCAACACTGGAACGCTGCAGTTCCGTCAGGCATCTGATTCAGAGGATGAAGACTTTGTAGAAGACAAAAAGCACAGGTCACCTAAAGTGAGTGGTGATAATTTCTCCTTCTTCTGAAGCTTATACCTGATTTAAGTCGGAAAAGGATTGATATGGTACCTAAAACATATCAAAGTGAGGAGACTAAAAAGCAAGATTGTATGTAGTACAAATGGTCAGCTGTGGGAGTAAAAAGGAAGTCCAAATATATTTGATGTAGTGGTTCACAATGACTTGAAAAAGTTGGCACTGAGGACTAAGCACAATGGGCACTATATCTTATTCAGATGGTGTGCACTAACCTAACCTTGTGGTAGGTTCCCACTCGTGTTTGCCCAATGTGGGGCATGTTTGTTATGGGCATGCTCAGCATGGCTTTCATTTAATCAGCTTCATAGCTGGTTTCTGTGACTGAGCACATGCTGCTTCAGCAGCAGTTTAATGGTAGCCAACGTATGTAATGGGTGGGGGTTACTGATATGCAAATATAAGATATGGGGCTTTTTTCTATGCTGATGGGGGTGGTGGGGTCTTCTTATATTGGAGTAAATATGGTATCTGTGGAGCCAAACATGGTTTCTCCAGTGGTCTTACTGAACACTTTCACTTAATTAGCTATTTTACGTTTTTAAATGCATTGCTTTTTATTATTAAGAAAGAACTGCCAAAGATCAGTATCAAGGAACTCATTGTGCTCTTTGCTGTTAAACCCATTCAAGGATGTAGTCCTGGTCTGAAAAATGTAAAGTCCAAGACTGTTTATATCTGTATGCTTCTCTGAAGATGTAAGAAGTTTAAAAAAAAAGAGAGAGAGAGCAAGAAAATATATCATTGGAACATTACGTTTTTGATAAGCTGATAAGATAAAGGGTGCCTCGAGTGCCTTTTGGCTGCTTTTTAAAAATGTTGTTAGATTGGAATTACCAGAGGAGGTAGCCAAATCACTTACTGCTTTAAAAACAAAGCAGTAGTGGTAATACTGTCACCAATGTGGTCCTTTCTTTAGGTATCCAAGTTAAAAGAAGGAGAGGACCATGGGATGAAGAAGCGCAAGAGGAAAGAGGAAGGGACAGAGAAGGAGAAAAAGCCTCGAAAAATGAAAGTTCCTAAGCAGTTGGGGTAAGTCTGGTCTGTGGATATATCTGTCTGGTAGGGTTGTAGGAGAGGGTACCTCACTGCAGCAAGAAGCAAATCATGTCCCCTTATCCTTCTTAATGGGAGTCTTGTGTTGAATTTTATTCAGTGAAACAGTTGAAATGTATACATCAGAACAGTATGGAAATGGGATAGGCCTAAAATCAGTCTATTGCACCAAAATACAGATACTGCAGGGCCAGGGCAGTAATGTTTACTAAGGGTATAATCTTATAACAGGCACACTTTTCCCACAAAATCAGCTCCCCCAAATTGGGGTGCATGTTTTAAGCAGGGATGTTGTTTTCTTTGTTGGAAAAGAAGCAAGCCTGGAGACAGTGCCAGTAATGCCAACTCTCACAGAAATTGAAACTCTTGAGAAGTTTTAAGTAAAATTAAGTCCGACTCATGATCTTGTGATAGAACTCTCAAACTCTTGGGATTTTTTTTCTTCTGGCCCCAACTGGGCTGGAACTAGCCACAAAGTCCCAGGGAGACTGGGCGGGAGGGGAGGTACAGGGAGCCCCACCGAGTCAGCACTGAGCCAGGAGCCGCAAAAGGCAGGGGGGCTGCTCAGGGCATGTGCGCAAGGAGCCGGGGGAAGAGGGGGCTAGAATGGAGCATCTCATGATTTGCATACCAAATTGCTTTGATTTTTTTTTTTTTTTCAGAGCTTGTCTCATGGGTTTCTTTTTTGTTTTGTTTTTTTATATGGTGGGGTTGGCAATACTGCATGCAGGGAAGCTGCCAAGATGGCTGCCACATGTCTCTTCAGCAGACTGAAGGGGCGGAGTCTTGTGTTAACTCTTACAGCCATAGCCATTGGCTAAGCACTGTAGCTTGTGCCCAGAATGGCAAGGGAGCTGTCGGTTGCATCTTGATGAGGCTTGTGATATAGAAACAACACTTTATACATACATGATAGTGGCAGACATTTAGGGTAGTGAGAAAAATGTTAGTTTGAGCCATTGGATTGTGTGGCGGGGGTTGACAACATACACCCTGTGGGCTAGATTCGGCTTGCAATGGGATTGGATCCAGCCTCTGAAGATCTGATACAGTCTGCAGTTCACTAAGGGTGCTCTGATTCCCTGCCCACTTGTTCTGGTTCGTGTTTTGCTAATGGTGTGCTAATATCACTGTAGCCTCTGCTCACTGGGTTGCTGATCCTGGAGCAGTGGAAGGGGAATAGTGACTTGCAGCGCCAGCCAGGTCACAATCTGTGCCCCACATTAGTGAAAGGTTACTGACCTCTGGTCTGTGACTAGTATGGAGGGAGTAAAATCTTTAAATTGATTTCTGTAAAATAATCTGACAAATGTTCTATTCCTGAGTATCTAGGAATTGGTTCTGAAAATCTGTTGTTGCTGGTAATACGTATCAAGAAGCCTTTTTTGAGATTTCAAGGGGGAAACTTATAAAACGCTCTGTTTTTATGCATTTAACCCCGGGCTGTCCAGCTAGCAGTCCCCAAAGCATTAGCATGCAACCCTCAGGCTCCTGCTCAACCTCTGTTTCCACCCCTGCCCTGCCTCCCTCAACTTTCCAGCTTCCCTCCACTGTGGCCATAATGGGACTATAAATGTCCTAGTAGTGGGCACAGCAGAGAAGGGAGCCTGCCTGCACTGTAGGTGGGTGCTGCATGGTGGGGGGTGCTGCACACGCAGCAGAAGAGCTGAGATGCCTGTGTGGAGGTGGGTGGGGGGTGTCGTTTGCATGGCTGGGAGGAGGGAGCTGGGTTGCTTGTGCTGTGTATGCAGCTGAGGGGATTCTAGCCTCTGCCCTCTTCTAGCTGTGCATGCAGCAACTCCCAGCTGTGTCCACTGTGTGAGGAGAGCTGGGCTGTCTGTGCTGGAGGGGGGGAGAAATAGGAGTGGGGTATTGCCTGCACTGTGTGGGCAGATGAGGATGGCAAAACAGGGCTGCCTGCCCTGTGCAACCAGTATGGGGGGAGAAGCCCTAGGGAGGGGGAGGATACTTGGTCTGTGGCCCACGTGGTAGGTGGCCCCAGCTGCCCAGAAGTTGGTGGGGCTGTGCAAAACAGCTGTGTTTCAATTCTGTTTCGGGTTTGCCCGTTTTGGAGGACAGTAATTTGTTTAGGATCACTGTCCTGTTTTGTTTCAGCTGAATCTGTTTCGAATGTGCTGCAGGCTTCACATAGCCCTACCCAGCCGGGCGGGGCTGCAGGGCCCCTGCAGGGAGCCGGATGGGGCTGTGTGTGGCTTGCCCAGGGAAGGGGGAGGGCTGCTACCATCCATGCAGGTGAGGAGACCCCTGCATGGATCCCGTCACGCTGGGTCGCAGGGCAGGGAAGCAGCGCAGAGTGGGGAGCGAGTCTGCTGGTCCCTGTTGCGTAACCTGGTTCTGAAGGGAGCAGAGATCCTCGCCAGGGTCTCCTTGCCACCGCTGCCCACCCCATGCAGCCCTGGATCTCTGCTCCCTGCGAAGCCAGGTCACATGGCAGGGACTAGCACTGCCCTGCTTTGCAACCTGGGTCTACAGGGAACAGAGATCTACACTCGGAGTCTCCTCGCCGCTGCTGCCTGCCCCGTGCTGCCTTGGCGACATGGGGCTGTGCAAGGCAGACAGCAGTGGTGAGGAGACCCTGGTGCAGATCTCTGCTCCCTGCAGAGCCAGGTGGTGCAGCAGGACAACAGCATATTGCTGTTTCCATGCAAGCCCGGCTCTGAAACTCTGAAATTTTCTGAAACATTTCGGAGATGTTACTGAGCCTTCTGTTTCAATTTGGATTTGGTGTTTCGGGCACTGAAACGGCCCGAAACAAAACAGCTGTCAAAATTTCGCACAGCCCTAGAAGCTGCGTTGGCTAAAAATGCTAATCTTGCACTTCAAAATTCTCAGTAAAAAAGTTCTCTTGCACCATATTTATGAGCAAGTTGCAAAAAAACTGGTTATCATTGAGAAGTTTGGGGTGCAAGGTGCATTTCTACACTGAGAAGAAATCAGTGTAGAAGTGTGACTCATTGTAACTATGACAACTCTACTGGCTCTTTATTCATTAGGTTAAATGTTGCTTTGATAGTATATGCACTACCACTAAAATACAGTGGTATTGAACAGCACGGGAAGAAGTTTGGGGTTAGTGCAGGCCTCTGTAACATTTGATAAGAAAGTTTTAAGGTGCATGTCCGGAATGCTGTTTCACTGAACAATAGTGAACTTACGCATACTTGGAGAAAGTAACTTTGGCCTGGCAAGTCCCATGAATCCCAACAAAAGCCTCTTTTCTCTCCAGAGTAATAGCCTTGAATTCACACAAGTCTGAGAAGAAGAAGAAGAAGTTGTACAAGGACTCGCTTTCTCTTGCTGCCATGCTCCGGAAGTTCCAAAAGGAGAAGGAAGCCTTGAGGCAGAAAGAATCCAATCCAAAAACTCCAGTGACTGTTGCAACCTCCACCTCCATCTCTGCTCCTAATAAACCTCCTTCCTCCTCTGCCAGCACTGGAAATGATGTTTCTGACTTGAACCTCAGGGTCCCTGATCCTGTCCTCTCCATTTTTGGTAGCACAAGTGAGCGTGAGCTCTTGCAGGAAGCTGAAAGTGCTCTGGAGATGTTGGGAGATATTGACTTTGACAAGCTGCTTGATGGCGCCTCTGATGGCAGCCCAGTGTCTGAGCTGTCAGGAGAAAACGGAAATGCCACTCAGCCAACCCAAACCTCTCAGGTCATGACACCCAAGCAGGTGCCTGCCCTCCCAGAAGGTCTGCCTGTACTACTTGAAAAACGCATTGGAGACCTTCGAATAGTAAGTATAAATTCACTGGTAAAGGATGCTCAGAGTTGTCAAGAGCCAAGAGAAATAGCTGCAGTCTGACTTGGCACTTCATAAACTTGAAATACTGGTAGGAACACTAAAGAAGGAATTGTTCAGATTAACTCCAGTGGTTGTAACTAGACAAATCAGATAATATTAAGCAAAGGGAAGTGTAGGTTGTAAAGTAGATCTTTCCCAGTTGCAAGATGGTTTAGTTTATTTTCAGTTTAAAATAACTGGTGGAATGTTTTCCAGCAGAGGCTGGTAGCTTAGCCACTTGATCTAAACTAGACTAAGCAAAGAGGTTAACATTTTGTAGAGAGAAATCTAACTCTGGATGGAGTAGATAACTTCATACCATCTACATCTGTTTGGTTTTTTTTCATTCTTTGCTAGTGTGCCTGACTCTTTCTAATAAGGTCCATTGTAAGTTTGCCCTTCTTGGTAACTAAGTGAAACCTTGTTGAGGAAGTAGAAAACCTTTTGATATCTTTAAAAGTTTATTTTCTTATTGCAGTCAGGGTAGCAAACTGAAAAAATATATTACTAAAAAATATATAAAAATATGCAACTGAAAAATGTGTTTGTGTATTTTCAGTTACATATTTTATATATTTTCAGTAATAAATATATATATTACATATATATTGTGTCCCACTGTCTGCCCCTCCATATTGTTTCATTTGTGCAGGTCAGCCTGGAAGTTGAAAATAAGTTGGTCATTTCTCAAGACTTTCATGTCCAAGTTCTCCTACTATTGGAGGAGCTTTTGCAGTGTTTGAAATGTAAATGCTACAGGGGAAGGATTATTTAGATATATCTGCATATGAATTAAAACAATGGAAATATAAACATTGTTTTTCTTAAGGTTTGAAAACAGTGCCATTTTATTAAACCCCAATTTTTTGGACCATAGATTTGTGCAAGGGTGGCGTTTTAAATGTATTCCTTTCAGCTAATCTGATCTTTCTTCACGAGGATTTGGAAGATTCTTTTATAAATCCCTCACACTTTATTCTGTATACAAGTTTATTTAAAAAAATCTTACTTTGACCTGTATAACTAACTATAATCCTTTAAAATGAGTGGGTGGTGGCCATAATAATAATTGTAAAGGTTAATGAAAGAGAATGTTGTCTACAGTAGTAACTTTATTTTACCAACTTTGCAGGTTCTACAGTATTGCTTAGTGAGAGTCTTCATTCACATATAGCATATCTAGAAACAGACTTGTTCCAGAGCCAGGAAGTGACGGTGTTCCTACCCAAATTGACCATTCACTTAGCCATTTCTCATGACCTACAGTTGGTCTGGGAAACTTTTATTCAGTCATTCCTTTAAATTTTCAGTCAGCATTTTATTATTAATGTTTCTGAATAGCATGGTGACTTATGTATCCCAAGCTTAAAATTTGGGACAGAAAGCTAGGTTGCAGTTTTGTTGTTAATAATAATAATAATAATAACAACTACATTTTAGGAGCTTTTTTGGCCTACAGTGAAATTGTGGTCACCTTGTTTAAACAGTTGGCGAGGAAAACATTTTGGAAGTGAACATTAGCAAAATGGCTCCCATAGACTTAATTCAAAGATTTTTTTTTTCCAGTGTTGGCAATTTTCAAGTTCCTTTTTTAGAGTCATTCCTTGCATGTAGGAGAAAGCACATACTTTGTTAAAAATACAAGTTGGCTTATTAAATGATCTATTTGAAAGGCAGTTGATTATTTAAATATGGTTTAAAACTCCATCATCACGCAGTTTAACTGGGAAGCTACAATATGGCTTTTTTTCTATTGTAATAATAGTTAGCTTGTTCTAAGGAATATGTGGTATTTAGACTACAAGTGAGCAGCTCAATTTTCGCCTAGAGAAATAGACATGGTAGAATGATTCTGAACCTGCAGATGCTTCACACTTCAATGGAGGCCTACTCCAGTGAAATCATACTTTGACCCCTTTTTGTCTTGGGAATGTATGCCTTTTTCTGTGGAACACAAGTCCCAAGGATGTTAGTCATTTTTAGTTACTCTGATCAACTTGACTCACACCGTCTGAATCTTTTTTTTTTCCCCTCACTTCTTTTAAAACTCAACTAAAAAAATACAAGACAACTTAGTACAAAATAACTGAAATAAGTGTTGGAATTGGGATGAAAAACACTGTAGCAGTATTGCCCACCTGAGGAATGATAATTCAGTGTATGATCCGCTTCAAATAATTAACTTTTTAAAGGTACACTGAGATTGGAAGGTTTAAAACTAAACCTCCAGTCCTTTGATAACTTCTCTTTAAAAATCACTTCTAAAAGTTTACAGAATTTCTTAGTAGTCTTTTTGCAGAGCAAATGTTTCAGTGCTGTTAAAACATCTTAGACTTTCAGCACTTACATTTAATGTGCTACTAAAAAATTCTCTAGTAGATTGGAAGGACAAAATATGTAAAATAAGACCCGATTTCTTACTGAGTATTAAATTACTTTGCCATACAAAACGTTGACAGAGTCAAAGATTCTATTTTTTTGAGTTTTCTTTTTTATTTCTAAAGAGTAAAACAGGTATTTTGTTGAATTAAAGAATATTGTCAACTCGAGACTGTCATCTGTGAGTAACTTTTTTTTAAAAATGTTATATGGTCTCAGTAGTGGGTTACTTTCAACATATTGGAGAGTTTTTTTCTATATTTTTAAATTTCATATTTCTCTGTGTGTGTGTGTGTGTGTGTGTGTGTGTGTGTGTAGTCAGGTTCACCAGGTGTCAACTGTCATTTACTTCTGTTATATGGTAGAATGACACATGGCTCATACCCTGTGGTTTACGGGCTCACCCGTTCTCTCCTTTGGATGTTATCTAATCCTAGCACCTGAACATAAATAGAAAAGGAAGAAGTGTCTTTTCACCTGTGGATTCTCCTACAAATGTGAAGAATGGAGAAAGTTAGAGGAAGACCTTATTGATAGCTCGGTGTCTCCTGTTTCCTGGGCTGCTATCATGCTGTGAGGACAGCAAGAGGCCAGTCTATTTGGCAATAGCAGAAGCTGGAGAGCTCTCCACAGGGACTTTCTAGGGAAAG